CCATGTACTGCCTTTCCACCCCCAGGCAGAAGCCTCCTGGCGCCCCCGTTGGACTCTCCGTTCTGGAGAGGAGCAATTCTGAGGAAATACCCTCCTACCTCTCTGACAACACCACGGTCACCTCGGCAGATGAGGAGAAAGTGCTCCTGCTGAACAGGAACACGGAGCTCCGTCAGAGGAACAAGGAGGTGGGTGGAGAGTCTGGGCAGAGGAAGCGAAAAGGGGCCCCAGCCCCGGCCCCCCCAGGAATGGATCCAGCTGTGACCCAGCTGTGGAGTAACGGAGAGTATCTTGGCAGGGGTGGGGCTGAGCTGAGCAGGAGAAAGGGCTGGATCCAGCTAAGGCGAGACCCCCTCCCAGGAGAGGAGTGGGAGAAGTGCAGCAAACAGCCCCTGGGGCCTCCCAGACCCCCTCTTCCCCCTCCTCCTCTTCCTCCTCCTCCTCCTCTTCCTCTGAGCAGAAAGTGGGGGTCCCCAAACTCCATTCCACCCCAGCCCCTCCTTGCCACCAGCCCACGGCACCCACCAGCCTCTCCTCTCCTTCTGCCCCTTGCAGCTGCTGGAGCTCAGCCGAGTCTGGCATGCCACCTACCACTCCACCCGCGCGGGGCTGGAGCGCCAAGTGGCCGCCCTGCACGAGGACGTGGCCGCCCTCCGCGCACAAGCCTGCAAACTCTCTGCCCAGCTGGACCACGAGCAGGTGAAAGAGTGACACGCAGCCCTCCAGCCCCCACCCCCTCTGCCCTTCTCTGCAAGCTCAGGGCAGTGCCAACATTGCGGGGGGCCACTGTCTGCAAGGGGTGCAGTGGGGCAGGGCAGATGGCTGACTCCAGAGATGGGCAGAGGGGTGGGGGAGGGAGGCACCCCAGCAAGGAAAAAGTGGACAAGGCAGCTGGGAGCCACGCAGGCATCAGGTTGGCGAAGAGGGAGCTTGGCAGCCTTGGTGCATGGTGTCTCTGTGTGTGTGGAAGGGGGTTGGTGGGAATCCTGGAAGCCAGCCCCTCTGGAGTCGCCAGCCCCTCTGGCCGTCTCCTTTCCGCCACTCCACGGCCTCCCTTCATCTCACCACTGCAGAGCCGGAGAGAGTATTACGAAAACACCCTCTTCCAGGAGCTGAAACACAGCCAGGTCATGCAGGAGTATGTGAGGCAGCTGGAAGGGCAGCAGCTTTGCAGCCAGAGGCCCCCGGCTCCGGTGAGTGACCCCCTTTCCCTTGGGGTGGGGTGGGGGTGGGAGTGGGTGGGGGTTCCGTCCTTGCCATGGAAAGTCAGCAGGGAGGAGAGACTTGGTGGCCTCCGGAAAGTTCTTCTGAAAGAGCCTGAGCCGGCAAGAAGGGAGGGGAAGGGCCCTCTCTTCTCCATCCTGCGAGGCATTCCCCCATCCTGTCGGGGGGGGGCTCCTCTTATTTTTTTGGTGGGAGTGGAGACAGAGAGTGCACATCTCTGCCCTTCTCTCACTTCCTCCACCCAGAACAAAACCCCCTCGGGCCAGAGTTAGACCACTCAGAGGTTAAAAGGGGACCAAGGGGCCAGGGGGCTTGTTCTCAATCCTGAAAGCTTTCAGTCCCTTTCTTAGGAATCCCGAGCAGGTGACCTTCTGCCTTGGGAGGAACCAGCGGCTCCCCCGCAGTGCCTGCCTCCCAGGAGGCGGTTAAAGGGGAAAGGAATGAAGCCGCAAAGCCCAGCACCTCTAACCGTCCCTGGCAGCGAAAACACCGGAGGCAGAGAGCGCCTGCCCTGCGCCCAGCACAGCACAAGCACCCGCTCTGATGGACGGGACGAGGTCTCGGCTCTCAAAGACCAGCTCGAGGCTTTGAAGTACCAGGTAAGGAAGGAAGAGGCTCCCAGAAGAGGCAGCGGCAGCAAAAGATGGGGAGCCTCCCCCCCAAAGGCAAGGCAGGAGGCAAGGAGGGGTCCCCACATAGTATGGAGAGCTCCTCCAGGCCTCCCGTCCCTTCCTTCCCCTTGTGTTCAAGCCGAGGGGGCTAGAAGACCCCCCCCATGGCAGGCATTCAAGGTTTCCTGCCCCAGAACCTGGGAGGTTGCATCTAGCTACGGGACCTGGTGGACCTGCTTAATGAATTCGTCTCCACCTCGTCCCAGTTTTTAAAAAATCTCTGGAGTCCGAGCTCTTGCAAACCACACCTAGTTCATGGCACACCGTGTGATGACAACCTCCTGTAGAGCTGTTTCCTTGGAAAACCTCGATTGCCATGGCAGGAGGAGGGCAGCTGGACCAAGCAAAGGGGTCCCGCTGGGCTGGGCAATAGCAGGCTGTCACACCCGAGACCCACTGCAGCCGCCCCAGAAGCTCTGCTGTGCTTCTGCCAGGGGCGCCAGGGCCTCACCCAGTTCCATGAGGTCAAATGGGTCCAGTGCTGCCAGAAGCAGGGTAGAGCGAGAGAATCCTTGAGGGTGGGGGTGGAGGACTGTACAAATGAGCTGGAGGTCAGGGAAAAGCTTTCCTAGCCCGGCCTGGCCCACCCTGGGAGCAGAAAGGAGCCCTGCAGGCAGCAACACAGCTGGCTATGCTTTTTGCAGACAGAAATCTACAAAGCCAAATACAGGATGGAGCAGGAGGATCGGTTGCGGGTCAAAGCGGAGAACCTCCAGCTGCGGAAGGAGGAGGAGGAGATGAGGCAGCGGATGGCTTTGCTGGAGGAACAGGTGGGCTCCCTTCTCCCCCATGCCCTGGAGCCAGCCCTTGCAGACGCGGCTTCTGCCCCCTGCCCCCCCGCCCCCCATTGCAAGCAGAGGTCGGAACACAAGCCTCCTGTGCTAGATACGGCAAAGGTGCCCCCAGCCTCCTGAGCTCTCCCCACCCCTCCCCTGCCAACTGCCCATCTGAGACATGGCACAGAGGGAGCAGCAGCGGCAGCGGAGGCACCTGGTCCCTTGCACCAGTGCGGCCCCCTTGCTGCTGGGGCAGCCGCAGGCCGGGTGCCCTCCCCTGCCCTTGGGGTGCCCCCTCTTCCTCAGCACTCCTGCCCTACTGCTATTCTTTTTTGCCCTTCGTACAGCTCCGGATCTTTGAGGACGACTTCCGGAAGGAGCGCTCGGACAAGCAAGTGCTGCAACGCCTCCTCAAGAGGAACGCCGGCGCCCAGGGGCCTGTCCTTCTACCGAGGAGCAGAACCCCAGGGGGGCTTGCAGGACTCACCCCCCCACCAGCCAGGGAGAGCCGCGGCAAGAATGGCATTGTGTGCCCCCATTGCAACTGACGCCCAGACGCTTTGAGGGACAAGCCCTCGTGCTTCTGCAGAGACGGCTAATGTCCAGAGCTTGAGGTGTGCAGAGCGGAGCCTCCCGGACCAGAAGAAGCCAGCCCCTTATCACCTAATTTTTTGGGGGGTGTTCCTCCCTCTGCACAGGAGAGGCCTATCTGGAAGGGTAGCATAATTTATTCTTCTACTGTATAAAAGTGGGCAGCTAGGAGGTCGAAGTGGGTACTGGAACAGGCCTGTCACATACTCAAGTCACATGCATTCCCACAAGAAGGGCGTTCTTGAGCCCCATCCCAGCCTCACAAAAGGGCAGTTCGGAACCGGACGAAGACTAGCAAGAGGTCCCCGTCTCCCGGGGGGGGGGACAGTCCCTTCCACAGCTGAGGGTGCAAGAGAACCTGCTTCTGACACACACACACACACACTTCAAAGGATGCAGAGAAGGCTACCCTTCATAGACACCCCCCCCCGATTCTCATAAAGGGCAGGACATGGGGTGGGGGAGCACACAGAGACATATTCCTCCAGAGCTCTAGAAACTCAAGTCCCTGGTAACAAAATTTATTGTCATGATTGAAGACCAGCAGAAATTTTTATAAATGTACTCTAGCAACCTGTTGATAAAATAGTAAATATTTCATCTTTGTAGTAGATCATAATCTAGAAGAGAGCAGGACGTGGGGAAAGGCTCTTCTGTCTGTGACCATTGGCCCAAGGACAAATCCTGGTCCCTCGCAGGGAGACCCTCCCCAGCATAGCAGGGAGCCGTTCCGGGAGGGCCACAGTGTTTCTCAGCGTCACCTGCCGGACCCGTGTCCGGCAAGAGGAGGAAAAGAGACAGTGGTGGTGGTGGTGGAAAACAGCACACTCATTGTTGAAGCCCACAAAACAGACACCCACCATGTCAGAGGGTCTCCTAGGAAAAAGAAAAAAACAGTCCCAGCAGGGTCTGAGCGGTGGTGGGCTCAGCGCACAAGCAGGCTGTGTTTGGGGCCGTCCACCCTCTCCAGCTTCTCAAAATGCTTGCGGGCGTTTCTGATGTTGATCAGGGTTGCAGCAGAAGCTGAAAGAGAGAGCGAGGCGTAGAAGGTCAGAGTCGTGTTGTCAGGTGGCAGAACATGGGGGGGGGCGCTCTTTGCCAGGCACAGACAGGGCTTAGGTTGCACAGCAGCAGAACTAGCATACTGAAGTTCCAAGTTTTAACCAGCACCTGTTAGCTAACTGTGCATTGTCAGTATTGTGTAT